TACTCCTAACTCAAAGTGAGTTGCCACAATTCTGGATCATAACTTGGAGAATAACGTTTGAAAGTAGGAGCCTTTTAAAACTAGAGACCAAACCAAAAGTATATAATTGTATTTGGAGAATACTGCTCCATTCAGGATGGAGGTGTGAGCATGTATCAAGAGTTCTGTGGCAAGACAGACTTTTGCCTGTACTTCTTGTTGCTGAAAAGCACAGTAGTACTACTACTGCAAGTGCTAAATAAAACATGACACAATGATCAGATGAGTGGTACAAGATGAAAATTGCTTCTTGGTAGTACTAGGTACCAGTGGAAGGGTTGTCCACTAATGACAYTACTTTGCCATCAGTAGTCTAACCATCATCTTGTTGCTTTTTTGTCCTTGCACCAAAAACAGGAGATGACTGTGAAAGGGGACATCACCCCAATGGAAAGGTTTATGTTTCAGAGAGYTTCARCAGAGACATACCTGATGACCCCATCAGCAGTGGTTGWGCCAATAACAATAGAATCATGGGGGTGTTGGTGGCATTCTCTGAGGATCTGTAATATTTCTGGAAAATAAACATATTTATATTACAGTTATTATTACTACTAGTATTACTAGTAGCAGGGTTTATGATATTGTGTAATCTAAAATGCAAGGCATCAATGTGGGCCTGCCATTCCATACAACCGGGACCACCACAATCCAGAATAATTGTTCCATCAAAGTGATCTCATGGCAGTCATTGGAGAATATTCCTGATTGCATCATGTGCTGTAAATCTCAGATTCTGAAGCCATGAGGAGTCTTGGTGGGTGGTTACTGCCATCATAATTGTTGGGGTTGTGTCTTGCAACCTCCAATTTGCACCTTCAATGTCATTGGCTTTGTGTGGGGCAAATAATGCTGCTTCTGCGGAGGCTTCTTTGAATACAGCAAATAATSCTGCTTTGACRCCTTGCCCGGCGCTGGAGGCTAATGTGGATGCTCAATCTGCACCTCCACAACAGCAATTTGATTTAAGGGCTCAGGCAAGGAGGTGAGGACAACAGCAGCAACAGAAGAAAAGAAATAAGGCACCTGATCAGTGGTGGAGATTCAGGCAATGYATGCTGAAAGGACGGCAAGGGCAGCACTTCCCCAAAGTTGCAACGCAACACTGGATTCCAAATTGGACAAAATCTACAGTGATCACGTTCACAGCTGCGGAATCTGACAAATCTGGGCACAACCAATGGAGTTTTTGAACCTTACCCCAAGGTCCCTACCAAACTRCCTCTGAGTATYACACAGGAGATAGTGGAATTGGTGGGTACAAAGCTGTTGGGRGCAGCTGGTCCCAGTGGCACTATTGGGGAGGAACTCAAAACTTACTAGCTACTCTGATTTGGCAATTTCTCCAAGATGCTCCGTGAGGAAATTGCAGCCCTGACCAATTGGCTGGCCAACCTCCATCCCCCATTGGCCTCCTTTAATGCCTTCATGACGTGTCACTTAGTGGCACTTGACAAACAACCTGGAGTTTGACCTGTTGGAATCTGTGAGATATAGTGGCGACTCATGGCCAAGTGCATTCTACACCTTGCAGGCCCACTTSCCACCAACTGATGTKGAAAATTTATGCGCCAGAATGCAAGCCAGAATTGAGGGAGCCTCTCATGCCATCAGGGAGGCCCACATTTGTGCCCCTGCCCSGCTGTCACCCCAATGATGCCAGACTGATGCACAGACAGACAGACAGAYCAAGGCAAAACAGTGATTCCACAGCCACCCGAACCAAATTGCCACRGCCAGACTGTTGTCCCCTGGATCCCAAGGATCCTGAGGGAACACTCCTTGTCAATGCTCAAAACGGTTCCAATGAGATCAGCTGAGTGTCAGATTGAAATTCAATCAGCCCCTTGATTTGATCTCCCATTCTGGTGTCCAGGTGTATGCTTATTGATCCAGATTCCATCTTKTCTAGATTTTGTRGGTGTTTTCTTGAACGTGGTTTCCTGCTGCTGATTTTGTGTGCTTGGAAAGCTACAACTCATACTGTACTCAGAAATGTTGGAGCAAGCTCCGATGGAGCATGCAACGGATATGTATGTACTATATTGGAAGCATACTACGTACATACGATGCTCCCTCAGAATGGACGGACATACCATTCCTACCTACATATCATAAAGTACTATTCATACATATATATCATATGATCCATTGTACAAGAGGTCAACTAAGAATACGAGGAGGTACAATTCGAGAACACCTTACAAAGAACAAAGATGTCACGAGTCCGGAATAGGAGAATCCTCATGTACATCTAGTACCAAATCTACACAAGGATCTAATCAGAACTTTGGAATTCTTGTGAACACGCTCGGTAATCTTCATGATAATCTTAATATTATAATTATAATTCAATTTCATAGTACACACTTAAAACACTACCAAGAAGAGTACTACACGTATTTCGTGCAGAGCAAAAGCATTGAAATCAAGCCAGATTTCATCACTCTGTTGGAGCAAGCTCTGCTGGAGCAAAAGCATTGAAATCAAGCCAGATTTCATCACTCCCTGTTATTTACATGGCAATTCACTGTGATTTCTTGCTTGATTTTCTCCGTACCATACGTACTATGATCATATGATTGATAGTTAGTAGCAGCTCTCCTTTGGTGTGACCTTAATTCTTAGTAACGCAATTGAATTTAGGAAGAATTTTTCCTAACACTGGCCTCCCCCCAATGMATAGTGACAAATCTCAAAGAGGCATATCAAATGAACTGTATTGAATCTTATTCGCATGCAATCAGCATGCTTTTTTTTCTCTTTTAGCCTTCAGGGACTGATTTTCTTGCTGTTCGGTTGCTCTCCTGCTATGCTATGATTGGTTGCGGCCGCCGCCATTGTTTTTTTTTGAAGGACGACGGCAGCCAAAAAAACTTACTGCAGTGCAAAAACTACTAGGTTATTGCTACTAGAATCACTTGTTGTCACAATAGTAATGACTGAATGTTTAACAAGAAGTTAAAAATGAATAAGCTATTTTTGGTCAAGGTACTAATTTATTTGCAAAAAATGGTATACAAGGGTTTGTACAAATCCACACTAAAAACAAGTTTCTTTTTGTTTCCTCAGTAAGTCCATGGGTGTAAGAATTCTTCAAAGTTACTGGCTAGCTACCGTGCACTAAAGTTAGTGAAGTGCAGTGCAGTGCACCGTAGCCAATAAGAAAGCAACAAAGTTGGTGGGGGATTTCCCACATTTCTGTTCTAAAAACTGATTGAAACGAACGTAACACCAGGCTCAAAACTTCCAATGCGTTCTATGTAACCAACTTGCCCCCATAACCCAATACTTTTCAGTCGTACGCGTTCAAAACCTGCCTCAGCGCCAGCAAAAACCGAAACATCAGACGATATTTTTCAAGAATTACGCATGAACTAATGCATGTCTCATGAGGGTTCGTACCTTGCTCGTACTTACACGTAGGCTGTATACGAGAGTGATACGGGTACGTAGTACGGTAAGATCGATTAAGAGTACGGTACTTACTACTAGCTCAAAAGTGCTGTACGTACGAGTACTCGTACTCGTACTGACCGGAATAAAAAATGGTGGAAAACTAGAAGTAATCAATCGTCAACTATTGCGAGTAGCCGCATTCCTACTTTCAAGTTGTTGACAACAATTCACGATAAGCTTGTCAAAGATAGAGTACAAAACGGGTACCACCGCAGACCACATAGTTACATTCAATACAACCCGGAAAGGCCCCTGGATGAGTCAAGTCCGTGGTTCCCGTGATTGTTGTTCTTTGCCAACTAGGCATTCAAACACGACGAATAACAGCAGGTGGCCCAAGAGGGAACGTCAACCGGTTTTTCGTATGCGCAATCTTCTATTTCCATCTACAATAATGGTGATAATGACGATGGTTTCACGCTTGACTGTTACTAGCGCATATCTTTCTCGGATTCCAAAATCAGCTACAGCCCAAAGGTCGGGAAGAAGCGTGCGCACTCTTCTACCGACAGGGGCACCGAGGCCGTCGTATCTCCTAAGGAATAGCGGGTTAAAAAACAATTACAACATGAACGATGACCTTGCAGAATTTACCTCGATTGMAGGTGGGGGCTACGACCGTCCCGTCGTTCAGTGGTACCCGGGACACATAGCAAAGGCCGAGCGCCARCTCTCCGAAACGCTCAAGGCGGTAGACGTTGTTGTCGAGGTACGAGATGCCCGAGCTTGCAAGGCCACGGCCCACCCGCGGGTAGGAGAATGGTGCGCCGGAAGGCCCCGCATTGTTGTGCTGACACATCTCGATATGGTTCCSAAAGCGGCATCGGGTAGCTGGAAAAAGGCATACGAAACGCTCGGAGCCGAACGATGGGACGACGCACCAATCAATCGACAAGTAGCAAACCAAGCGAAACAAGCGAGAGACCTTCGCTCSAAGTTTCTGGACAACGACGCTGGCAAAGGTACAGGGAAGAAGAAGAAGAAAAAGCAGAAATYGTCCAATGAAAACATAATCGAAACGAAGAACGATGGGAACGAAAACAACATAACTCCCGTAGAACAGGTGTTATTCGTCAACGCCAAGCAAGGACAAGGGATCCATGCGTTGCATAGATCCATCTTTAAAGCCGGTGCGCATGTTCAGGAAAGACGAGAACGCAGAGGACTCAATCCACGTGCATTACGSGTTGGGATTATCGGATATCCGAATGTTGGCAAGGTGAGAACCAGTACTACTTCCATTACTAGAATTATCAGGASCCGCCGTCTKTCTTTGCCTTTTTTGATTCACAACCGAACAAAGACTTGAACTTTACTGCTTTGCTGAATCAATACAGCACTATCTGTATCTTATCTTTTACTTCTTTATTGCTTGCTTAATTTTGAATAAAAATCGAATAACGTATTGGAAATTTGTACCAAAATGATTCGTCACGCAACCATAATCTTATATTTGAAGTCGGCACTCATCAATAAGATTCTGGGTCGGAAAAGGGCGAAAACAGAAAACAAACCCGGGGTGACACGGTCATTGCAATGGATTCGGGTTCGTACGGAGGACTCAAGGAAGGCATATGCAAGCGGAAAAACATCGGCCTCGCCTACTTCTTCGACGCACTCTAACGCAATGAAAAGAGAGTTTGAACTATTGGACTCCCCCGGTATTATCCCAGCCAAAATGGTCGATCAATCGGATGCTCTCATCCTGGCGGCCTGCAATTGCATCGGAGAGGCGGCATATGACAACCAAGCGGTTGCAGCATACCTTTGTGAGTGGTTGAAAGCCATTCACATCATGGGCATGCAAGGCAGGGCCGCTCCCGATTGGCAAAAAAAGTGCAAGGAACGGTATGGATTTGATCCATTAAAGAAGGTGAAGCGAGATGAATTCGACGTCATCCAGGAAGAGTATATGACGGGAGAAGATATGTTATTTAAGGTTGCCGATGATCTTTGCCGCGGCGATGCCGAAGACGCGTCCAGGAAGATTTTGCAGGACTTCCGCACGGGTCGAATGGGACCCATTTCGTTGCARCTTGCCCCCGAAAGCGAAGAGGACGACGGACAACTTTCTGTCCCAGTAGGCGATGGCACAATCCTGGGAAGGCAATCAAATGGCAGGGATTTCGATGAGGAATTTGAGAAGCAGCAACAAGAAGAACGAGCTCGAATCGCTGTTGAAACAGCGAAGGAACGAGGATTGGAGTTGCCACCGATTGTCGACGAAAATGATAATGCGGCTGCAAATGTAGGAAAGGGGATGTTTGATGGTTGGTAAAATYGAATAACGCGTCACCAATTTCTCGTYGCAGTTGCTTTTTATCATATCACAGAGCGAAACTACCAGGACAAGACATTCAGCCATGCAAACCGAGTGCTGCAAGATCGGAGCAGTAGTTCAGGCGGTGCAATACTTGCGGAGGTGCTACTCCACTCATCAGTTCAACCAACAAAATYATTATAAATAAAAAAATTCTAAATCTCGTCGAAACCCCATATTCCTGCAAAGGGTAATATCTTTGCTTTGCCACAAAGACAAATTTCTTCTCCCTTCGCTTCGTCTCGTTTCTGTGTGTAGCGACCGGAAATGCATTCCATTCCATTGCGTTGCATTGCATTATTTCCCAAACAAGAGTTTCATCGGAAGCATCTGCTTACTTCTAATCATGACGTTTTGGTAATACAATAGGCCGAATACCAGTCCTCCCAAATGGCCCAAATGAGAAATCGGTGACGAAGGCATGAAGCATGACCCCGCGAGGCTMACTGCAAACAGAATCTGAACCATCGTTCCCGCTCGAAGAGACACGGGAATGATGCCCATCACCATCAATCGCAGCACTCGATCCGGCATCGCACTGGCATAGACTGCTATCATCGCGCATGTGACCCCGCTCAATCCCAAGCAAGATCCCTTCGGTCGGAACAAGAGAAACATACCATTGCCGGCAAGGGCACCACCAAGGAAAAAGGGCCACAATGCCGCGTCTGACAATCCTGCGTACGCTTTGCGAGTCTTGGCTGCCCAGGATGACGACGGGACCTTGATCGACGACAGTTTCGGTGATAGGCTCAGAAAGACGTATAGATTGACAAGCAAATGTCGGAAGGACGAGTGCGAGATCGCCGAGAAGACCAGGGACGCACCAAACGTCCGCTTTGCGGATAGTCGGCTGGCGAGAAAGAATTGGTTTAAGATGGAACGGGCCGGCGGCAAAAGATTCCACAACAAAAAGACAACGATGGAGGACGAGGCTACCGAGAATGTGGTTGCACTCTCGCCGTAGACACGTCGAGAATATGCTTGTGCCGCAGTGAAAAAGGATCGGGTAGTTGCCGCCATGTTCTGTACCGACACAAATGAAGGGAGAATCCCCTTGCCGTTCCTACGGCGTGTATTAGCACGTGGTGATGGCGATGACTCAGTCGAAAATGTTGTGGCTTCTATTTGGTAYTGCTGCTGTTGAAGAAGCCACTCATTGTGCTCGTCGTTGTCGGCTGAAGCATCGGAGAAGGAGGATGGCGCATACGTCGGGGCAGCAGTTGGAGTAGATATCGGCGACCCGGAAGTTACAACACCCCAGTCGTTGCTGTTTATATATTCTCCTCCTGCAGTTGTGGAGTAAGCATTGCCKTTGTTGGTTAATTCTTTTTTGGGCAAGCGCGTGGACGCAAGTGAACCCACATGCCTCCGAAAACTGGCGCGATTGTTGTTGTTACCGGCAGCTTGCACACAGAYAATAGCACCGTTCCTATTCMAAAGGAAGCAATAACATAGGACTAATATTGTGTTTGAAATGGTAGATGACAAGCAGCCTGGCATCTTTGGATGACTGCGGGACTGATAGGAAGGTTGTTTCTTAAGAAGTAGCTATGTCTTCTGCTACGAAGTGSCCTGAACCATGACAATAGACAAGATGCGATTCGATTGAAGATGTGAGAAAGGTGTCAGATGTTTTTTWRGCAGAAAAATCTGGAAAAATAAATTMAAGAAGTTGCGTCTGGACATCATACGTTGAGTCCCGCCATTCAGTCACTCTCTCTCTCGGTCCATCCGCTCGTTCTCGTGCGAGTACGACCACTGTACATTACTGTACTCTATGGTACTATTTTTACCTTAGGATGCAGAGAAACGCGAGTCCATAATCCATTACAAATAACAATACCGAACGGTACGTACGATACCGTACGGTACCGTGTGATGTCGGGTTTTCAATTGGAATGTTTCCTGAACACCGCGATTCAAATTCACCACGGCTCATGAATTTCAAGCATGCATTTTTGAAAGACGGAGGAGGCAACAAAGCAAATCACAAGATCGATTGAAGCGAGCGATCCATCCCTACCTCCGAAGATCCTCTTGGCTTTTCCTTTAGTTTTTCTCACAATGGGTCGATCCAAAACAAATGCAAAGCAAATCACAAGATCGATTGAAGAGAGCGATCCATCCCTACCTCCGAAGATCCTCTTGGCTTTTCCTTTAGTTTTTCTCACAATGGGTCGATCCAAAACAAATGCAAAGCAAAAATCCAACGTACCGATACAATTTCCTCACGATGGTCCCGTATTTTCACTTTTGAGTGACGCTATTGATGGGTCTGCGGGGCAAGTGGGCGATGACTCCATAGAACAAGCGCTAAAAATTATCGGTGGTGCACATGATAGTGGTGGTGATGGCGGCAGTAGTCGGAATGCTATCTTGGTTTTCAAATTATGCCAGCGTCTACAACAACCGGAAACGACAACCAAAGAACAACTACAGGCCTTGCAATCATTTAAGTGCACATTTCTTAACGTGGCAAAGGAGACAAAAAAGATTCTAGAAAGAGAMAATAAATCACAGYCTGACAACAATGATGATGATTCGGATCATCTTATCGGATTGTACCGGCTGCTTTTGGARTGGTCCGTGTCCTATSAGACACCGCTTCCATTCCAGCGAGCGATCCAAGCGAATCTGAAGATGCTTGGGATGACGTCGTCAGTGTTTCAATCGGCAACTGATGGGATCACTGAAGCCAAAAATCCAACTGGTGACAACAAGGCAACTAAAATCTGCARGGACGTGATGGCATCGATATGGAACACACCCGAAAAGTGGCAAGATCCGATGCATTCGCTGGATGTTTCAGTCAATTACGCTCCACTAAGGGAGATATTACAAAGGGATGACACACTATTCTTGAATGCTCTATCATTTCTCGCTCGGTCTGAGACGGTATCCACGGTTTTGGAAAAGTCCTCATCCTCATCGMCGTCTCGAGTGATAGACGATTCGCTGCGCATTGTCAATATGCTGAAGATTCTACTCGGCGGTATGGGGAATAATGAACCGACGACGACAACAACAAATTCCATTATGACACTCTTTGAAACTTTTGAAACCTTCGTTTTTGCGCTCTTGACCAACCCTAATCTTCCGAGCGACGGATTCAATACGCTGGGAATATTGTACGGGAAGCTTCTCTTTTCCAGTATTGATTCCGAGGCGGAAGTGATCCAGATATGCACATCCACGGTTTCTGCATTGGATTCAGACACACAGAAATTCCAAGGGCTTTCACCTCTGGCTCGATTGTCGATGGTACAAGGTATGGCCGCCACATTGGATGCAGGTGTGTTGACAATGGCCAGTAACGATAAAGGTGCCTCCGCCCTAGAAGTTTGCTGGGAATACTCCCTCCGAGTTGGTCAAACATCGACAGATCCGTTGGTACGATGGGCTTCGATCAAGGGACTTTCCACATTAGCTAGCCGGTGGAAGCAACACCAAACTAAAACTATTGACTTACAGAAAGAGACAGACCAGGAACAGCAAACGGAATTCCAACGCGCAGATTTGATTGAAAAGACGCTCGACCTCGTCTTTGACTCCTGGGAAAACCCTCCTTTGCGAAAGTTAGGAACGGCCATTCCTGGCCTCTTTAGGGCTTTAGTTCAGCTTGTGCCAAAACGCGATCTAAGAGGGCTGTGCCAACAGGCTTTACAACAGCCAGCCAGCCGAAAAGGTCGTTACTTGGCGCTCGAAATATTGCTGCCTCATATGCCTATTACAACCTCAAGCACGGAGACTAYAGATCCTTCATCGGCAATGGCCATACCCATGGAATCGCTTCTTGAAGGAATCGGTGATCGGGGTTCCAATGCGGGATCTATTGCGAATCTGTGGATCAAGGTATTGAAACGCGCATGGGAAGAAATTTCGTCCRAAACCTCTGCAATAGAAGGGGTCGACAGCAACAGCGAATCTTCTACCGAGATCTGGAGAGAGTACTGGATGCCTTCATTTTGCCGAACAATCCTCGATCCGAGTCTAACCCGTCGAAAACAAGTTGTGGCGTTTTGTTTACCTCGCATTGCGGATTTGATGAAGGAATTCGATGATTTGAAAGACAAGCTGCCAGAAATTTTCATCGGGTTGCTCAAGGGGATCGATGGCTATTCAGAGGAAATGTCTAATCGCAACATGGAGACACTGGATGATGGTTTTGCTGATCGTGTCCTCTGGGCTGAATTAGAGATTGTCAGGTATTCTTCAGTGATGAAAGTTTCGAGTGAAAGGTTGAATAGAGTCATAGCGAGCTGTCTCGAAAAGGAGAAGTTTCGATTTGCTTTGATTCATTCTCTACCCTTTATTCGCATCGTTGCATTCAGAGCAATGAAATGTGTCGTTTCATCCTACGGATGCACTAATGCAATCCCAGAGGAAGTGGCAATGTGGCGATATGCACTCCCGTATTCGATAAAAACAAACGAAAGCAAGGAATATCTATCGAACTTTCTTCAGTGTCTCGTCAATTTTCTAGATCGCTTATCTGCGTGGGAAGCCACAGCCAATGATGGCGATTCATCAAAATGCGGTTTGCAACCGATTTTCCATGCTTTTGTGATCGAGTTTCTAATTGATGATGTAATTCTCGATAAGGGTTGCTATCCTGGCACAATTGCGGATAAGGAGGTATTTGCAGTGTCCCTTCTAGATTGCCTACTTGCATTTGCGCTTCAAGATGAAACTTTCAGTGGAGAGAATACAACGATGAAGAAAAATGCAGTTTTCAATCGAAAAAGACTACCAAACGARGATGCTACCATGGACGATATACTGAGAGCATTAGTGAGGCGAGATGTGTTGTCATCTTTGTTCGGACTATTGCATTCAATTTGGGACGGTACGCGTTCTGTGACTTTCAAGTACTTGGAAAAATTAGTGGTCGCTAGTCAATCGAAAAACGTGGCTCTCGCAAAAGAATTCAGTGACAAAAACGAGAGAAAGTCCATTCTCGCTCGAGGTATCTATCTTGCATCTTCCCCTCGTCAAAGGGAATCCGATACCGGAGCTCGCATGCTTGGGTTTTTGTATGCTTCCACGAAAGTAAGGACCGAAAAACATTCCTTTCTGGAAAAARTTGTCAGCTTGTCCATGGATCGTGTTTCGTCGATGAGAAGTACGCTCAATGATATCCTGGTTGGAAAGTCGGCATCGTCGGATGGTTCTTGCCTGCCCCTTGCCCACGGWTTGGTTCACGCYACTCGCCTGTGTATCGAGCATGACGAATTCGAGAGAAGATTGCTATCGATGACTGCAAGTGAAACGAATGTCAACCTGAATGAATCCATGATAGAAGTGTTTTGCAAAGCACTTCAGCTTTCGCTATCTGTTGTCGCAGACGTACGAGAAGGGGAAACGGTTGAGGGCATAGACGAGGAAGCACTTTTCGGCACGAATAGTGGGCAAGAAACAGACTCGACACCGCTCAATGTCAACACSGGGGCGATTGGTGCAAACGGAACTTTTTCTTCGGTTTCTACTGCAGACATGGAAGAAGCAAGAGCGCGTCTTGCTATGCAGAGAGTAGTGGTACGTTTGCCTTGCCCTCACCAAATCTAGCATTTTRAAAATCTCTTTTGGACATTCTCACACCTGTTCTCAAATTGTTTGTCTTAAAAACATAGGTCGGAAGCTGGCTATTGACAAAGGAGACGTGTGCCGCAATAGCCTCCGTAATCACAACGGAAGGGTATACAGCTTCGYACCATCTCGTGTCCAAGGTAGGGCAGCTTYTGCTGAGCACGCTGACAACCCTGAAGCACGCAGGCGCGGCGTTTGCTGCCCGAGATGCGCTCCAACAAATCGCCACAAGTTGTCTCAAGCCAAACCATCCGTCGGACGTTCGGTCCCTTCCCAGCGTCTGGTCGYACCGTCTCATTGACGAGATTTCACTGAACGAAAAAGTTCGAAATTCCACTCTTCGAAGAAGCACTGGGTATGCACTGGGATTTCTTGCCATCATGAGGGCTGATGTTAGCAATAAATCCGATTCGTCTGTCTTGTCTACCCCTTTGTTGAAGCAGCTTTTGATGCTCTCTTTGCCACCCGAACAGAGAATCGACGAAGCCTTTGCAAAACTGAACATGGCCGAACAGCAAGCTGATCGAAGCAAAATGTTTGTTTATGCCTCGACCACGGATRGCAACCGGCACTATGTACCGGACGATCAATACGAGGTGAGTTACGTTGTGTTATCCATCGTGTCGTCTTTTCGGCCATGGTTCGAAAKTTTTTTAACTAACGATGCCGTCTCMAAAACTCGTTTGTCTAGGCCCGATGCCGGGTTCACGCACTGAACGTYCTCAGGATGATCATACTGGACGCACCCCTGGCATCCGTGATCGGCCCGTTTGTTGGAGATGCCATCATCTCGGCGATTCTTGGATACGACGACCCGTCGTGGGCCATCCGAAATTCTTCCACAATGGTCTTTGCGGCCGCAATGCTGCGGGTCGTGGACTCGGACAAGAACGCCTCGAACAGCGACAAGACCTCGAGCAACGCAATCACGCTGGCGGAATTGCTCCGGCGCTACCCCCCGCTCGCCACGTTCATTCCTTCCGTTCTCCGGACCTGCCTGGAAGAGATGGAGGGCAGGGGAACCGTCAAGTCCGAGATGTTTCCACTCCTGTTGATGCTGTCGAGGGTGCAACCGGTCGTTGGCTCCGGCACCAAGGCATCGGACGGCTTCGTTCCGCTTCTCTTCAGGTGCGTCGGGAGCAAGGACCACGGGATTCGGCACGCGGCCGCACGATCCGTCGCAAACCTGAGCTCCGGAGCCACCGGCACTGCCCTCCTGTCGGACTGCAAGCGGCGGGTGAAGGAGCTCTCGGGCGACCAAACCCCCGATTGGAACCTTCTGGACGGGGTTTTGTTGGTGATGGAGTCTCTGGGCCTGTCCTCCGAACGGGAGCTYCTCGATGCCGAAACGCAGGGGAATCTSTTTGGCATTGTGGATTCGATGCGAGTCCCTCCGCCKTGCCGGTCCACCGCCCTGGCAATCCTGCTCGCRTCGCCCTTTGCCGACACCGACGCCACGATCTCGGCCTGCGAGAAAATTTCCCGGGACGAGAGCATGCAAGGCTCGATCGGAGGAAGTCTCCTGTACAAGACGGCGTCCGAGGGACTCTGCCGGTTCTACCAAAGCCATTTGTGGGAGGCCGCGGGCGAATCCGGTCTCGAKCGGTGCCTGTCGAAGCTGGAAGCCGTCTTYGTCAGCGACATCATTGACGTGCGGCTCCACGCCGTKAAGGTCTTCAAGAAGGGCATCTACGACRGCCTCGACCGGCTGTCGGCCMCGAACAAAACGGGGCAAAGCCCGCTGTCCGGGGCGTCGGCCACCCTCAACGGGCTGGCGAAGATGCTGCTGGACTGCGCTGCGTCCGAGCTCGGCCGCGGCATGGCGGAAGCCACCGGGTCCCACGTCCCGACCCTCCGGCGGCTCTCCCGGTGTTTCCTGGAAACCGTCGGGTCCGCCCMRGGGGGAGCCCTTCCGTCGCTGGACCACGGGCTCCTCTGGTCGGTCTCCCGCGAGATCACGGAKCGAGAGTCCTCCTTCCTGGCCGCTGCGGAAGACACCGGCTGCCTCGAGTCCAACGGCGGAAACCTGCTGTCGGGCAACGCGGTGGAGATGATGTCCGTCTCGATTTCCCTCGGGCGGGCTTCGGGGGCCTTGCGCACGTGCGAGACCTGCGAGCGGACCAGGATCCTGGAGGGGGTGGTAMGAGGCCTGAACGATCCCAGCGGCTCCTGGAGRTCGAGGCACAGCGCGGCGCTGGCACTGAAAACCTGCTGCGAGGCGCTGTCGGGCCCYGGGTTCGGGGAAAGCGACGTCCCCGGCCTCGAAGCCCTGCGGAGAAGCCTGAGGGGGACCCTCCTGGAATTCCTCCAGGATTCCGATCCCGACGTCCGGGCCGTAGCGGTCCGGGCCGCCGCGGGGTTTGCCGGCGTTGGCGTTGGCGTTGGCGTCGGTCCTTCGGCTGCTGCTGCTGCTTCGCCGCCTCCCGCCCACCACCTCCTGCTCCCCGAGTGGACGCTCGAGCGGGCCTTTCCCTCGGCCTTTTGCCCCYGCGGGGATCTCGTGGAAGACAAGCGGTCCGCGGCGGGGGTCCTGCTGGGGATGGTCCTCGGCCACTGCGGGGGCCTCTCGGGGGCGGTGGGGGACGCCMTGGACGAGTTYCGCCACACCGACCGGCTCTGGGAGGCCAATGGCGAYGCCRATGGCGAYGCCRATGGCTGGGAGGCCTTCCGGACGGGCCTGGTCAACGCCAACACCACCCGAAAGATCTTCGAGGACGAGGACCCGAACCCGTACAGGGAACGGATCCTGTGGGACCAGCTCGCGGTCCGGTCCCTCCTSGRYCTGGCCRCCCCTCCCGGCGGTGGCGGCCTCTTGCTCGGGAACCCCGCGAAGGACGTCCTGGAGCGGTGCGGTTCCGTCCTTTCCGTCCTGGCCGGGAGCGAGGCCGGCGCCGGCCTTTTCCACGAGCCCACGCGGGTTCCGTCCGTCTTTCCCGCCCTCCACGGACTCCTCTGTGCGAGCGCCGCCTGCCTGTGCCTGGAGGGGTCCGGGAATCCGGAATCCCCMMCGACCGAGGGGCCCTKRRAARRGGTCCGGGCCTCCGCCGCGAAGCTCGCCGCCATGGACGGGGGCCGCCGGTGCCTGCAGCCGGACGTCGCCACGGCCCTGAACGTCCTCGGCCAATCCCGGCCCATCCGATCCGAAGACGTCGGGAGCCTCTTGTTCCTCCTGAAACACGCCGAGAACTGATCGGATCGGATCGGATCGGATCGGATCGGATCGGATCGGATCGGATCGGATCGGATCGGATCGGATCGGATCGGATCGGATCGGATCGGATCGGATCGAATCAAGGGCTCTGGGTGCCAACCATTAACCATTATGGCAATATGACAGTATCCTAATTGTGTTGTTGCTTCTAACATATGATTGCATCTCTAAATTGCTCCCAAGAGCCGATTAGTTTCTAGCTAGTGCCGCATGTCTTTTTTAACAAGCATGCTCTTTTTCTATCGATCGTGTGCTTCCCGGTGGATCTCTTCTCTATTGTTGGGCACCGGGTTCGTCGTCCCCCTCGCTGTCGCTCTCGCTGTCGTTCTCGCCCCCGCGGCCCTCCTCGTCGTCCGAGAACCCCCGTGCGCTCCTGCGCCTGCGCATGCCCATGCTTGCGCCAACGCCGGCGCCCGCGTCCCCGAGGGCACCCGTGATCCCCGAGAGGTCGTCCAGGAGAAACTCCCGCCGCCTCCGGATCCGGCTCTGGCTGCTCCTTCCGCCGGCCGGCCGGTAGTAGGACCGCTTGTCGACGTAGTTGTCGAACTCGAGGGGGACCAGCAGCACCGCCCCTTCCGTTTCGAAGGATTCGCTGGGAAAGCAGGGGTCCTTGGGCTCCGCCTCCTCCTCGTCCGTTTCGTCCGAGGTGCCCTCCGTGTCGGATTCGGARCCGGGGCACGAGAAGAGGCTCTTCCTCGCCGGCGTGTGCTTCTTGCCGTGGCCGTGGCTKCCTCCGACGACGATGCCCAGGATGTCGGCTGCCTCGCCGGAGACGGCCCGTGGCTGCTGGAATTCCGGCCCGTCCATCCTTTCGAAACTCGCGGTGTCTTGCAAGAGGTGCATTTTGTGTTGTGTTGTGTTGTGCTTTTGCTTGTGCTTGTGCTTGTGCTTTTGCTTGTGCTTTCTACTCGTGCTTGTGCGGTGGTCTGCCGTGGTTTTGTGAAACGAAAGAAATCCGTGGGTCTGGACCGGGGCACGGCATGCAGCGTGACACTTGTTCAGAAGGAATGTATGTGTATGTGAAGGTGTCTCTGCGTGTTGTTTGGGTTCGTTCGAACAAGGAACGTATTGTTTTGCCTGTCGTACTGAGTACAAGTGAAGAATATGAGACAAAAAGGACCGCAAAAGCAGTTTTGGGAACGGTCGGTCCACACCAATCCTCGCTCGTACGGTATCGTAGGCACCGTACCACCAAACCGACGACGGCTTTCCTGCATGGGCCCCGAAAAATGTGCCGAGAACCACAGAAAACGCAGAATTTTTTTTCGGTAGGACTCCGCACTCACGCGTACAAGGGGCAACGGTTCGTCGACGAAAGTAARATGTAGAACCGGATCGTGAAACCCATAGAACTGTTTGGAAATCACCAAAAAATATCAAGACCAAAACCTAAAAACAAGCCTCTCTTGCCAGGGTGACACCGGTTCTTGCCTGGCACGAATGACCCAATCGTTTGGGCGATGACGGGAAACATTTATCATCGGTTTTGATCCGGGACCAAGGTCTTCGCCGAAAAAAGGCCCTACCGGACGCACGTACCGATGCAACAAGCGATTCTCTTCAGACGTGTGCCGGTGGCCCCTTGGAATCACGACTACCAGTAGTATCGTACGCACCATACCGAAACGCTCGTACTGTACGATACGTACAAACATGCGTGACGATTTGTTCCCAAAAAACCTGGGTTTCCGTTCGACCGTCGCCGAGGATCGAAACCGGAGGCATTTTTGTTGGCCGACGTGAGGTTTTCGAGCGAAAGGTTCGGCTAAAAACAATCCAAATTTCGGTGAAGCTTCGGGTGTACTACTGAAAGAACAGCACAGCATCGCATCCAATCATCAATGTTCCCCGCCCCGGTACCGCACCGCTTACCGCGCACGAGCAGTACTCGGTGGTCGTTTGGCTTTCTTCGGATACGATGACGCGACGGGGCGACGAGAACGTCGATTGTTGCCCATTCCCAGTGAAGCGCAGGCTGGCTAGCCGACTCTTGGCTGTTTCGAAGGACGACGATTCTTCTGCGAGACAACGCGGGATTGTTCACTAGCCGGTCGGGATTCGTTGTGCTTTCGAGCACCCGTATGGAGTGACAAGCCCCCTGGCACGCATGGACAATTTGTTGCCATCGCTACAGTATTGTAATGTTCCTAGAAGAATGCTGTTATTTTCTATTCTGGCAACGACAAACCTAGAAAATCGATACCAAAAGTGCGTATGAAAACACTCTCCGTTTGCCCTCGCGGAGGGAACTAGTATGGCATGGTAGACGCCGTGCCGCTCTCGCTGTTGCTCGCTCGTCACACAATCCYTCCAATCGTCGACGGCGATTTTCCAATGGACCTATACCGCAAGGGGTGTTCGTGATTTCCGTCTCTCTCGATCAAACTCGTCATTTCGTCTTCTTCGTCGCTGTCGAAAGCTCCCTCGCTCCCGTCGGTTTCTCCGGCGCCTCCTCGTTGCCGCGCCTCGTCGCGCGGSGGTGGCACCYGCGCCTGCTTCTGCTTCCGTTTCCACAGGGTCTGCATCAGGTCCGGCCGCCGCTCCGCGATTTCCCGTATCTGCGGGGGCATCGCATCCAAGAGGGTGTCCGGGACGGCGGCCCCGTCCGGCGGGATCGGAAGGGGTCCCCGCGGCGTGTCCCGGTAGGGTGCGTTCCCCGGCGACCCCGCGGCCGCGGCGGCGTGGTCGCCACCGGTCCCACCGTGGAGGGCACCTCTGGTCGGACCAGACGCGGGAGGGTGGAGCGGCAGTATCCCGTCGCTGGCGGACGACGACGCCGGGGCCTTGCCGCGGTGCTCGGCGTCTCTCCACAGTCCTTTCTGGACGTCCACGAAATCGGCACCCCTCAGCTTGGGCAGCTCCAATCCAAAACGCTGCTTCATGGTGTTGTTCAATTGCTCGCGTTGTTCCGCCGTCGTGTCTCGCCGAGCCCCGGCATCGTGTGGGAATCGATAAGAGTGTGGGTGCGAATGCTGCCGGTACTCGCCTCGTTGAATCGATGGCCAACCATCGCGTTGCAAATGCTGCGATCCCCCGTCGGCAATCAGTTCTCGGACGTCTTTGATCGGTCGATCGACTTCCGGATCGTTGTACTCCTGGTCGTGGAGATCCAAGCTGTGGTCGTTCGGCACGCGCGATCCGGAACCATCCTCGGGTCCGGAGTTGCAGCAGCGACGGTGCCTTGGACCCATCGGTTCGGCTCGGATTGTGTTCCAGTCGCCCGTGCTTCCCGGTTTGGGATACCGCTCGATCAAYCGTGCCACGGAATCTGCAAGTCGGCGCGCAGGACCGAAGGGAACCCGCAGGGTGACCAGTTGCGAAGCGTCCGAGAGACCGTCCAAGACATCCCCGGTGATGTAGTGCGGAGCCAAGCATTCCAGGATTGAATCGTGCAACTCTTCGTCGTCATCTCTCGTTCCACTTAGCCCATTGTGATCCCCCCTTTTCGACGACGACGAGGACAATTGCTGAGAAATCCATTGCATCGTTTGAATCCTTGTCCATGTATACCAGCGTCGTTCGTCCAACCAGCAGGAGTGCGCATTGATTCGGGAAGCGTCATMGCTGTTGTCGTAGTGGTAACTCAACGAAGCAGCAGGAGCCATGCCACAAAACCGAGCAACCAAGCCTCCGCAGCATTCACCCGAATCTGATGGGGCTGCTGTTGCTCCTGTTGTAGGCATACCTTGCATCTCGACCGATGCCTTTCGCTTTCGATGAGCATACCATTGAAGGAACCAAAGGGAGAAAAAAGATGAAAAAAAGACCTGGAAGGACAACCGCACAAAGAAGGCTTGTGAAGATTGCTGGCTGYTTCTCGTATTTGTTATCCTGAACCCCACAATCAACATGGCAAGCCAAGAGCAGACGGGTAGAATTCGGACGGAATTTCCAACTAATTGTTTCGATCTTGCCGGGAGTATTAGCCGAATCTGCAGTTCTTTCGCCAGAATTGCCAATAGGTTGAAGAATACGGTGAAATGACCCCATGCMAAAAATAGAACACGCAGTTGCGTGTCGGTCGTTTCGATATCGTCGTTCTCCTCGCCGGTGTTCTCGTTGGCGTTCGAATTCGCTCCTTGCGCTGCCTGGCTGCTCAAGATTAGKGTTGACGATGACAAAGCCAAGGCCACCCACATCCAAATCTGTATTTGGCATCGATTCAGGGTACTCTCGCGTCGAAAGGAATGATCCAGTAGTATAGCGCACGATACTATAAGCGCGGTGGGAAAAACGGGAGAGAGRGCTACTACGAGACTCGCATTGGCTGATGTGATCGTTGACATGGTTGGTAGTTTGATTCTGTCTCGTTGCGRCAGAGTATCAGGGAAGCAACGTCTCCAATCTATCCACTCTATAGATAAAGTGGAACATTTCGCCTTGAAATGATTTTGTGAGAGTAGTTTGGGGCTACACCCGGTGCTATTTCACCCTGCTTCGGGCTTCGGATACCTTAGGGCTTGTGATGATGATATGGTGCCAGGTACGAACTCGTATGATATCGTACGGYAGGGTAAAGTAATCGTACCGTACGAACCTTGGCTACTGTTGATTTCAATACGTTGTCCGGTATGACTTCTTACGGTACGTACAGTACGACTCATGATTCTCTCAGAAGTACCGTACTGACCGGTACATAACGTACTCGTACCGGCTGGTATGGTAGCTTGACGTTTTGAGTTTTGAGGTTCATTCTCGTTATGATGCTGTACCGTACGGTACTATCGTACGTACGATTCAAGAATTCGTACCCGGAATTGAGATTGAGAATTGACCCCTGAACCACGGTACGTACCGTACGACTGACTCGAATTCTTCTAACTTCGATTTTCATGTTCGAGTGAGTCGTGTTGGATTCATTCAGAGGATGGAGGAAGATTCGAGACTCACTTCCAGTTTTGATTCAACATGGAGACCTGATGCATTTATGGATAGGAAAGAGCCACGTGAAACCATAGGATCGCAATAATTGAACTTTAGGGAAGATAAGTAGAGTTTCGTAATAATGTGCCGAAATCTTAAATATTGGAGACCTCGAATTTCTAAATTTCGTGACAACACGTGCTGTTGTCCCGGTACGTACTTAAGTGCATTCTTTCGGGATGCATAATATGAATTCAAAGAGAAGAATTTATTTAAGCGAAGAATAGTGAAAGCTGATGAATCAGAATAATCCTATACCCGTAGCTTTTCCAGTCAGATAAAACAGATGCGTCCGACGATGGGGCTTCAATAATTTCCTCTGACACGCTTGTGCAAAAAGGTGGGTTATGCCTAAAACCAAAAACTCTCGACAATTGATTTAACGTGATCTAGTATCATCATGAAATGGCATTCAACAATGTACATGCCAGATGTTTCGAATCAATTAAGATTTCAATAATTAGAAACAAATCGTCGTTAGACAATCCTGCGCAGTTGCCAACGGTACCAATTCACAAAACACAGTCAAAACATCGAGGACGCACAACACAGAATCTATTATCCGATCATGGTGAAACCGACCTCGTCTGCGGCCTCCGCCGCGAACAGCAGAAGAGGCCAACGTACGATTCGAAGTTTGATGGAGTTTCTACGCTTCCAAGCTCGACTAGAAGCAAACAAGCCGACATTTGGCCAATTTTTGGGTCTTTCGGTTTCAGGAAATGACGCAGATGAAACAAACAAAGAGG